GCCTACTGCTTCCTTGTCCATTCTTCTAGTCATCACAGGTTGGATGGGTGGTGCGCCTAGGTCGCGCAAGAGCCGTGGCTGACTATTCCAGTGGAAGGCTATGGTAAGGTCCTTCTAGTTGCAGACGACGGATTCAGTTATTCTAGCCACTGTACTTCCAAGACAACATCGAGACCTATTAGCGGTAAGAAAAACAGAGTGAGGGAAAACGAGATACCTTGAATGTGCATCAGTACACTGTTGAATCGTCCCTGACACCGCATGGGACTCCCATATGTTATTTTGATAGAGAAGGGTTTTGTGGGCAATATGGGAAGCCTCAATCGACTAGCCACCTTTTCATTAATAAAATTGTGTGTAGACCCGCTCTCGATGAGAGCAATAACAGGTTGTTGCCGAATCGTGGCCTCGACTCTCAGGGTGCGGGCAGTAGCCCAATTGGTGAAGGCATGTAGCGAGATTTCAGGTTCACCAACTTCTGCCTCTTCGTTTTCGTTCTGCCCTCCTTCGAGTAAGAGCAATTGTGGCTTTCGGCATCGGTGGCCCACGGTGAACCGCTCATCACAATTAAAACATAAGTCCTGGATTCACCAGCACTGCATTTCTTCCCAAGAGAGATGCTTTGGGGCGGCAGTAGTGGAAACTAGGGCATGGGAGGCTTGCTCGGGTAAGGACGGAGGGGGTTGTACCCGCTCCGTTCAGTTCAATCTATGTAACAACCCCCTCCGTTCAGTTCAATCTATGTTGCCGACCCACTTGTTCAATCTGATAGGTCCCAATCAGAGCTTCACACTCAAGTAAGGTTTTTTATTTTAGGCGAGAAAAGACCAGAGAAGTTTTTGGATTTCTTGACTGCTTTATTAATAAATGTCGAGACCTTTAAATAGGTATAAGTACAAATGACTGGATAATATTATTAGATAAGAACATAATATACAAGTAAATCAAAAAGGAATTTAAAAAACAATTGATGGTGCTGAAATTCTGGAGTGGATAGCAGTTCATTCGTGATTATACCGTTGAAGGCCAGGATGATGATTATACTGTGACGGTGTGTGGACCTACAAATTCTAAGCCTGTACTCATCATCATAGATAGTAGTGTCGCCCATGTGTACGAAGCTCAGTTCGTTTAAACTTCCTCCCCAAAGGTCATTGTAGCTAACAAGCAGAGGATGGAGAACCAGCTCAGGACCTCTATGGTGCTTTGGTTGATGCAGAGTGAAAGTTTTAACTACTCCTATGTGCTGGACCTTGGTCACTTTGACATTATCCTAGGAACCGATTTGATGAAGAACATAATCCGTTCCTACTTTATTTCAAGAAGTTGCAGGTGACCATTATGAAGAAAGGCGAGATACTGGTGATACAAGCAGCACTGGATAATGGTGTTTGGAAGTACCTAACAGACAAGGTTCTCACTAAATTGATTCAGAAAGAATGGTCTTGGGCGAACACCATTATTTAGTTGGTGAAAGGTGTGTGTGTAGAGAAGCAGGAAACTGAAGGAAAGCTGATGGAAGAACTACATGAGGCCTTACAATCCTTAATAAAAAAAAAATACTAACACGTCATTCTGCATCAGTTTTTATGAGTGAAAGCTGAAGTTGCAACTTACTGCAAATTCTTCATTCATGTAACAACCAGCTCCAATTCCAAATGGGTACAGGATCATTTCATCACCTTATTTCTCCTGATATCCTGGTTTTGCTACTGAATAATTTGCAATCTCTAAAATGTTGGTTAACATGAACTAGAACAACAACAAGATCAGCAAGATTTGGTGAAGCACCAGTAAGTAATGACTAACTGTTTATCTCTATCCCCATTTTTTCCAAGGGTCGCGTACGATAATTATATAAGCATGATTTGAGCCAAAGTACTTTGCAGAAGTCAGAAGAAAGCAAGATAAGATATTATTTTCATGCTTCCTACAGAGAATGGGACTGGTGTTTCAATCTTTTGTTTTCTTGTTTGTAGAAGAAGAATTATTAATCATATCCATTTGTCAAAGGTTGAGACTGCCGCGTTTGAAAAAACTCTCTATGATATTTTTATATATTTACGTGAGTTAAAATAATCTGTAGCATTATTGTTGTAGCACATTAAGACTGATGGTGACCAGTTGTCTGAATGTTGGCTGAAAAGTGGATGACAGTCGATTGATAGAATGCCAACAAGATGAACAAAGAATGATCTTTTAAGTGTTAGTTTATAATTATTCTAATGTCGAAATTAATAAGCAATGCAAGTTCCAAAAAAATAATAAACTTTTTACTGCTGAAAAAGGACTTACTAGGTTTTCAAATTCTTACCTGTTTATAAGTTGATAGGATATAACACCTCATATGCAATCACAATCAGTAAGGGTAGGTATAGTTGTGTATAGTGGTTCTCTCATAAATGCCTATAGTTTGATCCCTTGGCATTTGTCTGATATGCCAGCTTAATTATTGGTGGCCTCATTTGATAAGTTACTTCTATAGTGTATATTAAAGCCTTCGAGTTCCAGAGACAGTCTATTGTCTGCTAAGATCAGGACTAGGGTAATCTTTACTACAGCAGTAAACCTGGTAAGCAACTCTTAACACTGAACTAACCATTTGTGGTAAGAACCAATTTCCATTTATCATTCAATCTTATATGAGTAAAACCTGATTGTAGTAAAGTATTCGGTGGAAAAAGATGCTGGAAAATAGAGATGTTTTGCTGCATATTAGGCTGATGAATAAGTTGACCAACAAAATGGAACCTTGTAGTTACACTAAATTTAGGCTAATACAGGTGTACGTGGATCAACCCAGATGTTGACAGAATCACCATTACCAACAATTTTGCATGCTCTTGTACTTGCAAATATCTGGTTTTAAGAATGTCCTTCCTGAAAAAAGAATCTTAGCTTCTAGGTGAAGCCTGAGATAGATGAATACTACTCACTCTCCACAAAATCAAATTGTTTTACTATTCAATTCGTTCCTCATCTGAAATTCTCCAGAACCCAAGTCAAAAATTAATTAGCTCAATTTGCAAACGGTTTTCCATTGATCCCATGTATATACCTAATTGTAAAACACGTCAGGAACATTTGACATGTACTCCAGCAACAAGGTGGGTTGTAGAGATTTCCAGGTTTAGAGGGATTGAGCTACACAAGAAGTAAGGAAGAGAGGGAAAAAGGAGAAGAGAATAGAGACAAACAGAAGAGAACTCTGTAAATTTTCATCACAGAATCAGTTAACAATTTCCTTTACATTCCTCTCTCTGGAATTCTGGAAAAAAGGAAACTAATGGAATTGGAACAGAAACAGCTATGACAGAAAGGAAATCTAAATAACTGAATTCTGATGCTGTCAACAATTTATTTTGCTCATCCTTTCAAACCTGGTTCACCTGCCACGTTAATACCCGAGCATGACGCTTGTACACCAGTAAAGGCTTCGGCAGCCTGTTCCCACTTTCATCTTTCTTCTCCTGCACCTGGATCGTGATGTACAGAAATGAGACATATCCATAACCCGTATAGACAAAATCTCAAAGTTAACTTTTTCACCATTCCAAGCAACCTACCATCTTCTTCAAAACAGTTAGCTTTCAATCTCTAAAACTTTGGCAGAACTTTTTTCTTATAATTACACCACCCTAACTTCTCTGTCTAAAAGCTGAATTAATTAACTGTCTCAGAGAAAGAAAAAAAGATACATTTATTAAACATTTGTAACCTGATATCAATTTATACAAAAATTTTGCCCTTGTCATATCCGTCAAGCACAATAAGTTAATAATTAATCACTAATCATATTCATAATCCTACTCAAGAGAACTTTTAAACAAAAAAGATAATTAATACAAGAGAAGCACTCCACCTAACCAATAAGACCAGAGAAGTTCTATTCCATACATTAGGTGCCACCACTCTCATGGACATTACAGCAAACACCTGCAATAGTTGGATTTGAGCTTAGTCAATAAGTTAAAATAAGACTGGAGACATGCACCATTGTTTTAATGGGTCCATAACTGAGGAAATTGATTGAATAACCTAAATATGAAGAATTTATGGGCTTGTCATGTTATTATCATGCGTTCACAGTAATGGCTGAACATCAACTGACAAAATAACAGTGCTATTATCTAAAGACGGAGCACTTGAAGTTGAAGTAGCATCCCATGGCCCTGTCATTTCGGTAGCAGGATCCTCGTACTCTTCTCCATTTTCTTGCACTGTGTTAGCAGCTCCATTTGATGACAGTCTAATCCCCTCCAACTCTGCTGCAACTTCTTTCATTGTCGGTCTCTTCTTCCCATTCAAGTTTAGACACCGTTCTGCAATCATGGCGACTGTCGTAACCTCTTCTTTTCCTCCTTTAAGAACTCGGACGTCAACAATTTCAAACAAACGGTTCTCCTCCATTGCCAGGAGAAAATGGGTTGCCAGGGCTTTCTCTTCTTCTGATCTAACCAGAGAGATTGGTTTCTTCCCTGTTAATAACTCTGCAAGAACTACACCAAAGCTATACACATCGCTTTTCTCTGTAAACTGGCTTGACTGGAAGTACTCCGGATCCAGGTACCCAAAGGTTCCTTGTACTCTAGTTGTTAGATGTGTCTGATCAACAGAAATTGATCTTGAAGTCCCAAAATCTGACACTTTGGCTCTGTATTTTTCATCTAAAAGTATATTTTTGGACTTGATGTCTCGATGATAGATGGGTACAGAGGCTGACGAGTGTAAATAAGACAGAGCACTTGCAACCTCTATTGCAAGCCTTAAGCGAATTTCCCAGGTTAATGGGAAGTCTTCATTTTGATCATGGATGTATTGGTAAAGTGTGCCATTGGGGATGAACTCATAGACCAGAAGAGGAACTTCAGTCTCCAAGCAGCAACCGAGTAACTTCACAACATTCCTATGGCTTATTTGTGATAAAATCACAACTTCGTTGATGAATTCCTGGAGCTTTCCTTCGTCAACTATCTTCGACTTTTTAACTGCTACAATCCTTCCATCCGCTAACATCCCTTTGTAAACTGTGCCCTGGCCTCCTTGGCCAAGAACCCGATTGTCGTTGAATTGATCAGTTGCTTTCTCCAACTCTTTTGAAGTGAACATTTTTATGGTAGGAACATTGCCTTCATTTGAAAGTAACTGTTGCTGTAGCAGTAAGCCACCATTTCGCTTAAAAAACTTCTGCTTCATCTTCAAGTTCTTTCTTCTTTTTGCTACCCTGTACAACCACCAGGAACCAACAAGAGCAAATAGAACTCCAAGACCTGTACAAACACCTGTATTGACAGAGATAATCGTTTAGAGATATTCCAATTTTGTGGATAAACATGCTTGCTTATATTCATTTATATACAGGATTGTTATTACTCGTGTATGTGTTACAGCCTTAAGCAATGTATACATAATAAGAGGTGGATAAGACAACAGTCGGAGGTACATAAAATTCTAACAAAATACTAGTAGTGTTTGTGAGTTAATTTAAACAGAAGAACTTGGTTATCTTGAGGCTAATCCTAAACCTCAGTCTTTTTCCAATAAGAGAAATAGTTAAAATAAAAAACATAAAGTACTTTCCGAAGATAAAAATTGAAGATTAAAATCATGCCTACCAATAATAATCGCTTTATCATGCTGCACTTTACTATTATCAGAACAGAAGAAGCTTCCTTCTAAATTAATACAATTCTTTCCACAATAGTTTCTTCTTGGATCCGCACACTCATCAATATCTGAGAAAACAAAACTACAATTAAATCCAGATAATAGAAATATATGCATAAAAATAACTAAAATATGTATAGATAATGAATTTTAAGTAAAAATAAAAAGTTCTTTACTATCATTTCCCAACTCTTGATTTCATTTTCAACAACCACAAACATTTTAGTGATAACCAGCAGCTAAACAGAACCATGGGTTGTGTTTTCAGTTTTACCTTGACATCCATCTGGAAGGTAAGGGTTGCCTTGGAAACCATATCTACAATGACATCGATAGCGTCCAAACAATGCAGTGGAATTCCGACAACGAGAGCTAACGCTACAAGAAGAACTTAAATGTTCTACTATGAAATCAGGATGTGCATGATTCGTAGAAGAATATGGACCAGCTCTATCAGATATGCAGGTCCCATTACTAATACTCCACTCTAATGTTACAGGAACATCTTCCATGAGCCTTGAAGAAAAGAGGCTGTCTAGGTTTTGACTACTGAACCAATCTTGATCAGCCAAGAACGCAAACCTGCAGCCCTTCTTGTCATTTTGGGGGTCAATGCTTCTCAAGGTTGCATTAATGAACTGAAGAAATGGTGGGATTTTAGTCTGGCAACAGTTGAGCCCGAAGCAGCTATGTTTATCTTCAGAGCTGGTGGTGGTAGATGTGTTACAGATCGATAAGCAACCACCAATGACCTTGTCTTGCCGATTGATCAATGCAAGATTGTCACATCCCAGAGCAGTGAATCTGTTCCGGGTGTCCGAGAAGAAAAAGGGGCTGCCCAGCAACAGAAAATTTTCAGCACTAACAAGTTGATTTTCGCAGTTTGAGGAGATGATAGGACCATTAACAAGAACTGTTGCTTCTTCTAGATCAACATGCAGTAGTTCCCTATTGATACTGGTTAAGAATGGTTTTGGTGTGTTGAAGCTGGTTTCACAGGTCACTTGAAACCCTTCAGCCATGGCACAGTCAGCTCCAATCCCAAATGGGTATGGGATTTTAACACGTGATTTTTCACAGGTCTCCCTGCATCCCGGCTTTGCCATTGGATATTCATAATCCGCAGCTTCTAGGCCTCTGCTTAACACCACCAGTAACGGCAAGATTTGGTGAAGCAGTAAGTGACGACGACAAGCCATTTCTCTCTAACAATCTCCTCTCTGGATATGCATTTTCCTTTTTTCTGTGTCGTTCATGATGGTTATTATAGAAGATATTTCTTCTTTTGATTTTTATTATTATTACTCTTTCTTTTTTTTTTTTCAGTGGGAAACGTGTCTTTTGTTGACTACTGGAAAAAGCTCAGCTGGAAAGTCTATACTCGGAAAGGTCAGTGTAAGACTTTGGAGGTAAAATAACTGCACTTGCTACTGTCAAAATGTAAACACCGATCAGCTACAGTACTTACATAATCACACATCATAACACACGTCATGTCCGTACCAGCTATTGATGAATTATATTCTGCATGTGCATCAGTTCAACCTACATAAAGGGTTACTGGGGCATTGGGCTGATCTGGGTCATTTTGATGGAAATAAGTTTTCTTGACCCATCGGCCTGGCAGCATGACATCTATTACTGACCTTGGGGTTGGGGCTACTTGGGCTGGGTAGGAATAGGCTTGTGCAGCAGTTCAACCTACATAAAGGGGGCTGATCTGGGTCATTTTGATGGAAATTAGTTTTCTTGGACCCATCGGCCTGGCAGCATGACGTCTATTACTGACCTTGGGTTTGGGGCTGCTTGGGCTCGGTAGGAATAGGCTCGTGGCCTGCTCAATTTCTATTTCTCTAAAAGAGACTTTTATATTTTAATATATTTTCAGACGTTACTAATATATTTACAAATAATCTTTTTCTTTTTTTGTGATTCATAATTGGACATGGAACCTGTCAGGTTTAACGTACCGCGTGTAAGCAGCCAGACCCAGAAAAAGTTAAAAACTCCACGTCTTCATTTGCTATCCTCCATGCAAAACTCTTGACGTTTCTCCCATCAAAACTATGTCTTTGTGAAATATTCGAAGCAAGAAAGCGAAAGAAATTAATAGAGATTGCGAAAGGAAAGCAAGAACAAATCAAACAAGCTTCAAGCTATCACTCACAAGTAATCCATTAACTAGAGCCACCAGTTCTGTTCCTTGAAACTTATTCAGTGGCTTCTGTTACTTCCAAGTTGGCAAATTTACTATCACTCATTCCCTCTTTAAATTCCCATCATCCCTGGAAATTTTCTCATCACATTTTCCCTTCAGATAACCAGAGGATTGAAACCCAGAAACTCACTTGTGCAAAAATGATCGACATTTGGTCATGGATATGTGAGCTTCCCTACTCGGACGAGTGGGCGGCATCAGACTCACCCCTGGTACTTGAGTTGGCGAGTAACTCACCACCGAGTCAAAAAGACTCTTGCCGGTCAATCAAACTCGTGGCTGACCGTACCTCCAGCTCCAACTCAGTGATTTTCAAGGTATGCTTGCAAAGCTTTAATCTTGACTACTGTAATCCTCCAGGGACTCTCTGGGTCTCCGACACGTGTCCTCTTTCTTCCGAAAAACCGTTCCTCCCGCTGTTACTCCAACTTCTCCACGAAATCATCACCCGCTCACCCACCGGGTACGATAGCTCATGCCTTAACTCTCGACTCCAAAAACTGAAACCCGACCCGGTAGTGTGGGTCATGGATTCTCACTCGCCCGAATCTTTCTCCAGTTTCTTCAACTTAATTTTCCTGACGCGCTTGTTCTGGCTGTGTGTGTGTGAAGCGCCGGCCGAAGTCGGCTCTTTCTACTTCCAATCACTTCTGGGTCCCAATCTGGAGGCGTTGACGTGCAGCCACGCGCCGGTACTCCGGACGTTTTTGGTTTCCTCCGGCGTAGACGTCGAGCTCTGCTTCATGCGAACCATAGGCTACATGTTAACAAAATGGCTCCTTTCAAGGGAAATCCGGGTCGGGTTACAGGTGCTTGACCCGCTGCCACGTCAGCATATGGGGTTCTCTTATGCAACCGAGGCCCATGGGCTTTGGATTTTAAAGGGATATGTCCCAATTTTGGGGATGACGCTAACCAACTCAAATAAAGGGCAAATCAGTAAATTCCCAATTGTGGAGGCCAAAGAGGCAGTGTTAAGGTACGCCTTGGCACATCAACAACTAGAGACCGTTCTTCAATTAGAGTACTCGGTTAAATTCTACGACGGATATATCCAAGTGAATGCACGTGTCAACAATCTGAGGCTTCACGTGTCAAGATTAGGGTTCAAGAAAAACGATAATACAGATTACACCGATGAAAAGCATTTTCCAACTAGGGTTAGTGTTTGGATCGGGCCTGAGCTCGGTTCAACTACACATTGGGGTTAACTTTAGGTCGATCAACAAACATCGAAGAAAGGGAAGTCGAACTGCAAAAATTGATGAAAGGAAGTTATGGGAAATCGAAAGTTCCAAAAATAAAAACGAGAGCTAGAATGTCAACAAAGATGAAGATGAAGAATTGGAGGTGTGATCAAGATGCAAAGGGTAATACAGTAATTTTCGATGCTATTTTATGTGACAATGAAACGGGTCGAGAAATAATCAATTGGATTAATCCGAAAAACAAAAACGACAGTAGCAGCAATAGTAATAATGATGATAAGAATAATAGTTATAATGTGTTTAAAAATAGGTACGAAGGGGTGAATCGGTCATTTACTAAGAGTGGGGGATTGGTTTTTGCCGGAGATGTGTACGGTGAAGAGGTGAGTTGGAGGTTGAGCAAAGAGATGGAAGGGAGTGTGTTGAAGTGGAGGATGGGAGGGCATGTTTGGTTGAGTTATTGGGCTAACAGTGTCAAGAGCTCTTATCATGAGACAAGATTTGTGGAATGGTCTGACGAGGTTGATTTGCCTCTTATCCCTGGAAAATAATACTATTTAAAAAACTGGAAAATAATACTATTTAAAAAACTATATATATATATATACACGTAGAAGAGGAGATATTTGTGTAAATGTAAATATATATGGTGTAAATTATGTTTACAAATCTCTCTCATTCATCCATGTGATTATTTTGCTACCTTTTTTTTATATATATTTTACACACTATATATATCTTCATATGTACATATATATATAACATAATACATCTCTCTCGTATCTCTCTTATACATATATATATAATATAGTAATGTTCATAATACGCCTGCCTCAAAGTTGCATGAAGATATATATATATATATATATGTTGTGTCCTTAACGACACACTACAATTTTTTAATTTACCCAGAATCACTTTTCAAATATAATTAAATAATTAAACGTAACATATATATATATATATATATATATGTGAACGGACAGAGGGAGATGGAGGAAGTCCAAATTATATATAATATATAAAATATTGCAAAGTGAGTCAGCAAATTTATCTATATATATATATATATATAAGATTTTACGAATTATATTAAACTAATGGAAATTAATTTAAATATATATATATATATATTTTTTGGGATTACATAACTCTGGGTTATGGAAATCACGTGGACTTGTTTCTCTTTTTGTGGAAGATTTGTGTGGCCCATTTAGTAAGGCGCGTGAGAAAATCCGACACTATATCTATCTCCTGTCGGATGAAAATTATAATTTTGAAATATAACAATTAAATTATAAAAAGCGAGGTAAATTAATTATATTACAGTGTCAACTTGAACGCTATTTTATTTTATTATTATTATCGAAATTCCAAAACTATTATTTTCTCCAAATAAAATATATATTAATTATGGTGTTTTTATCTATGAATTTTATTTTTGAATAGTTAACTCTTAATTAATTATTTCAAATTTAATTATCATTACTAATGGTCCAAAAACTAAATGAT